TCTCTCTCTCTCTCTCTCTCTCTCTCTCTCTCTTTCTCTCTCACTCTCTCTCTCTCTCTCTCTCTCCCACTCTCTCACTCTTCCCAATATCTTTCTCCCTCACTGTTCCTATTATTATTACCATCTTCTTTCTCATTTAATGTTTAGTAGAATATGCGTTTCAGGGCCAGTAAAATCGTGTTATTTTATATTACATAACATATAGAATAAACAGACGTTGAGAAAATACTAAAAGCCATCGCCCCCGAAACAGTTATTAACATTTAAACAGTTATTTTTTCTCGCTTTTTTCCTCACTTGCTAAGACTCAAGGGACGATTTTGTGCAAATAAAAATGTAACTCCATCGTGTTTATTTGTATTCGGAAAAAAACCGTTCTCAAATGTTTGTTTAATATTATATTTTAACTTTATAAGATCAATAATACCGCTGAATAGCTCTAAATTTTATTTACAGAATGCATAAATTTAAACCTCGTACATTTTTACTTATACAGGAAAAACAATTTATAATTCATTTAGTTTATCATTAATTAAAAATGTTTTAATTCTTTTGTTTTATATAAAATAAATATCATCAACTGAGACGTCAACATGAAATAATACAAGGTAAACGATTTAAATAATCATATGTAGATGGAATGGTAGATAATTTCTGGGTAGGTATGTTAATCAATTACAATATACATTGTTAAAAGTATATTTTATAAAACTGTCCAAATAAAGTCTAAATGAAGAATCAAAAACAATCATTCAATATTTTAAACAAAATGGTCGACAAAAGATTATGATAAATTATTTTTAAAATTATGAAAATTCTTTAAAAACTATGTAAAATATATTATACAACTCTTCTTATACTAAAATATTAAAAGTATTAATTTTGACTTGAGAGTTATAGGATTTTAAAATAAGCGAATATATATACCTATAAATCTGTTACCATACGTCATTGTCATAAAAAAAGACTAAAAATATAATCAAAAAATTCACTAAGCTCTTTTCATTAGTAAAAACAAAAACTTCATATATTTCAAAAATATATACTATTGTTTTATTTTACATTTTCCGGAAGTTTCGCAATGAACAGACAAAAAAACAATAAAAACCTCACAAAAATTCCTACGTTTTAGTAAATAGTTTTTTATTACACCACAACTTATTGTACTTAGAAAACACTTATTTTTAAAAAAAAAAAATTTTTATGATATACTATATGTTTCAGTATGATTAATACTAATTAAATTATTCATATTTTTATAATATGCATTGAAAATTTAAATTGATAAAATTTGCATTTATAAATTTAAAAGTATCAAACATAATCCAGTAGTGATAAAATATGCAAAACACTACTGTTCATATGACTTTATTTAAATATATAATTAATTGAGCTCATGATTCCAAAAAAATTTTTTGACATATTATTTAATATTAACCGCTTACAAGTTATACTTATTCTTGTGAAAAAAATCTTGTCATGCTGATTAGGATTTTAATTAATTTTAATATTAATCCAAAGGATTTTTAAATAACGACATGGTTATTGTTTTAATTTTACTATTTTTAATACAATTTAGATTATTTAAGTATTCAATGGAAATAATTGTTCCTTTAATAAATAATTCTTGATTTCTTTGATAAATAATTACTCGGAAAAAATAATACTAAAGACACGGTAGGTTAAAAAAATAATAATAAGTAATTTAAATTAGTTTGAATTGAATTTTTATTATATTTTACTGGTCTTCATAAAAAAGTCGTATATTTCATTTTACCATTAAAGTGCGGGAATCCGTTTTTTTTCAAATTTCGCCAAAAAATAATATCAATTAATAATGTAACTGATCTTTTCAGACACAAGACCCTCTTGAATAAGGTAAATTCTGAAAACTCTCTCTACTTTAACCTGCATAGCTTCATCATTGACGCCCTTGTCTCCCGTTACCTACCGCCCCAAACTGTCGTCTACAGTTATATGACACGCCCTAATCTGCTATAATTTCTGCTAAAAAAAATCTTTCTCCCTTCATAAAGCTCAAGTCAACTCCGTCATTGACGAGTTCATAACTATATATTTTCCTTATTTCTTAAAAAATGTCCACTGACACTATTCAGTTTTCTATAGATCTACTGGCTGTATATTTTTTATACCCGGGCTTAACTTATCTGATTTATCGGCATATTTCTTAATTCTTCACTACGAAGGCAAGGTATCATGGGGTGCATTGATGTTTCTCCTTCGGTTTAACCAAGGAAGACATTAGCATAGCATTTGACAGTAAACCTTGCTTACACTATCAAATCCATTTATCTCAAACAACCTCGTAGAACTAATCATTTTTTTTAAAAATATATTTGAAAATAGAACGAACAGAATGAAACAATATTATTTCAATGTGTTAAGTGTTGTTTAAAATATTTAGTAATTTTTATAGTTTGATTGTATTAAAATTAAAATTGAACTTTCAAAAGCCTATTGTAATAGAACTAAAAAATAAAAAAATAAAAACAGAAGTATCCCAATTTGCATATAATATATCAAATTATACTAGATGGCCAAAGTTCTTGTTAATTCGATATCTGCGGTCCATTCTAAATGAATAATGACATTCAATGACATTTGACAAGAGGATTTAAAATAAAAGTATTCGTAACATTTAAAACCAAATACGGTACTTCGAATGTACAATATTGCAGTATCATATTAATACATATGACAAGTGTTGACAAATAGCACGAACACGTGAACAACCAGTACCTACTGCAAATGCATGCTCAACCAACCCTGGTACAAATTAAGGGGAGTTCTTAAAACTATAAATTAGTTTTTCATATTTTATGCCTTCGTCAAAACAATCGGCAACTCTAACAATTATTTAGTGATATCTACTACACATATTTATGTTTATAAATATCCAATCAGCGATATGGTAAATTAATTCAAAACGCCTGAGCCTGATGTTTGTATCTCAATACGATCTATTGAACTCAAACCTATTAGCCGTAATAAAATTAAATAACAACTAAAAAACAAAATACATAAAATAATGACAACGCTCGATCTGTGAATACTTAAACTGCGGGTGCACACTCGAGGGTATGAAGGCGCATCCCTCACGTTGAGCTTTCCCTTTTTTTGACCATATTACTGGTGTTTGGATCAAAAGTATCACTTATAAGTAATTATTTTGAAATTCGTGCCGACCGTCCGCGCACCTGTACGTTATAACGAAAATCATACTGGGAATCGGTGGACATCCGACTACCGGGGGGAAAATCCTGATCGTACTGCTGGCAATGGATACGTACCTACCGGTAAGCGAAGTGTGTGGCTACGACCGCGCTACGACCGACGCATAGACGACAAACGGGACGCGATACCACACGGTCAACACGCGGAAACGAAGCTAGTGAAGGACGCGATGACCAACGTGCGGGTGGGGGTGAGTACGACCGAACCGCGCGACCACGTTAGACGGACTGCCGGCGGCCGCGCGCGTCTAACCGTCACAAGGAGTCCGCGCGCACGCGCGTCGATCCCGTCGGAGTGTAGCGCAGTAGCGCGTGTGCGTTCTCATGTCGTCGCCGCCACCGCCGCTTCACACGTCTCAGGAAACAGTGCTGCTTTCCGTGTACTTTTGCCGTTAGGATAGTTTTTCCCGTCGGCCGCGAGAAGCTCACCCCTACCCCGAGAGCACCGGGTCCGGTCCCGTCGCTGACACCTGTTCGAGAATACTCGCGGTCCTAGGGGGATGTCTGCAGCGGATCCCGCCCGGATGTTCGTCGACGAGATCGGTGGGATACAATTTCGGTTGGCTATTGTAAAACCGAATCCCACGCGGAAACTTTTGAACAAGACTGATGACAGTCGTCACACGGCGAACTCGTTTCAGGGCCACGACCAGGGTTTTACACTGCTTGCCAGCTTTGCCCGCAGTTGTCCGATCGCGGTCCGATCGACGATGTCATTTTCTCCGACAAAATTCCTCGTCGTTGACGCTCAACGTGAGAATCAACAAGTCCCGATAGTCGTTTACGGCTTCGCCATAAGAAGAGTTATAATAACATCGAGTCAACTTGTTTAAAACGCAGTGTTTGAACGCGACTTCGCGCTACCTACGAAACCTTTTTACCATAAACCGCACTCCGACGAACACAATATACTATTCGAATATTGCTTCCCAAATATTGTACTATTTATAAATACTATTTTAAGTATTCGTATAAATTATTTGGGAAAAAAAAACTTATATCCATCTATATATGAGGCGCGTCATCAACGGTGGTTTCATTACGATATTTTTAACGGAAAACTTGTAACGACACGTTTGAGAATGTATAAAGATTATCATCAGAAAATTATCAAAGTCGGAACAATTACCAGGTGAAACCTGCAGATGGCGTGAGATATTTGAATTACGCGAACATTACGACGGAATTAACTTCGAATTAGAATGAATCCCATAAAGAACATTGCAATGATTTCTAGACGAGTTTAATAATAACATTTTGCTTTCGAATTTTTGAGAACCCACTGTTAATTCACTTGTTTACATTTTTTTTTCGTATAACCCTTAAAACTCAAACGTTATTCATTAGCCAGCCACTGTGTATTAACTTGTATACAAGGTATTATACGAAACTGAAAGACAGTCATAAAGAAATGCCTCTCTCTTACTCCGGCATAAATGTTTGACGACTTGCATTGTATTTATTTTCATTACGCATCCACGAGTATATACTCATATATACTTACAGTACTGGAAAGTTATTTAAATTCCAGAGTTTATTTGTTCATACCGAATGGCAAAAAAGTAATTAGTATAAAAACTTCTTAAATAATAAGTGATAATAATAATTAATGTTTCTATTTCAATGATACGCTTACGTAATGCATTATATACGAGTATATACGTGCTTATATAGGTAGATAGGTAGGTTGGTTTAGACTAAAGACGAAATCCATCGGCCCGAGTTGCGTATGCATTTTCCTTTTTCCAGGGTTTTATTGAGGTAATAATTTACCTTTTATAGAGCATTTGAGTTACGGTGCCGTGGAAAAAAGGTCTGTTTTTAACATACTCGTATTTTCGATTTAAACATCGCTGCGGTTCTTGGTATTATAAACAAGTTTCACCGTCTACACTGTACACACATAACACTATTCGAACGTATGAGAAATGGATATGGACGTCCGCAGAGGATTGCTATATTACTAGATTAGGTCAATAAAATAAAAAAAAATAATAAAACGACAGTCTTCGAAATTTTTATTGTTCCGTTGGGCGAAAGGTTTAAATATTTATATTTCTTTTTTTTTAATTAAATCTCTATCACAATACACCATAGTTACGGCACCTACCCCCCCCCCTCCCCTGCTTGGATTCCATGTCAAACGTATTATAGAATATGAATCTACAGCAAAAGGTAACTTTTATCGAACAATAACTAATGAAAAAACAATAAAATATGAAAGCAAACCTGGATCTCTGAATAGGTACATGCAATTATAATCATTATAATATTAACAATCAAATGTTTTTTCTCAAATTTAGCACCCATAGTGTAAACTGAGGGTCACATAGAGTCACCCTCATGACTTCTAAAAATATCACAAGGTCACAAAAGTATTTTTTTCAACCCTAAAAAACATGTTTAATGAAATTTGAATTAAATGCAGTATCTTTTAATATTATTTCAGAAAAGTATATATTTTATCTTTTTATAAATTATATTTGTTTTATATATAATTATACTTTATTTTATTCAAATTTAGAATATAATAAAACAGAATTTAGTTTTCTAATTTATATCACTGCACCCATATATGGTGATTTAGTTAGCAAACTCTCGACATCAATTGGCCTTCTCATCGAAGTTATCCCAATTTTAATTATACATAATAAATTACGAATTTTAGTATACATAAAAATTAGATTATGACACTTTAGGCATCATACCTGACCTTTTATATTTGCACAAAAACTAGCTTACCATAATATCTTTCTCCTCGGCTCCAATGTCCTCGAATATTGACGTGTTCACGTAATATAGAATATATGCTTATCCACAGCAATGTAAATGCATATTGTTGTTTATGATTTGTCTCTAACGACCACCGTTGATGTTTGAACTGCAAACTTCCGAAACCGGGATGAAAACCGTTATGGAAATATATACCCAATTATCCCGGAGCTAACTATCTGACTAGCTTCTACTCGTATACCTGCATGTGCAATATACGTGTACATAATACAAGGATAATGTGCTCAATGACGTATTTGAGATATTTTTTCAGGAGGGGGAGAAACAAAATCAGTACATTTGATTATGACATCAAAACTTAACTATTCTAAAAATATATAAAATTTTAATCAATATGAAACTCTAACAGAATCGATTATAAACTATAAAATATAATAAAAATAAACTATTGGTTCAGAATATTAATTATTGATTATAAATTACAATAAACAGTACATTTTTCTTTATTATTTATGATTATAACACAGAACGTAATACTGATGTTAGAAACTGTTTCTATTGTAATACGAAATTGGGCACCTTATTTGATGGGAACGTATAATAGCCGAGTATTAATATAAATGGAATTTAAAAGCTTCGGAGAAGGAGCAAATGACCCTATTGCCTAATGCCCTCCTCCATCAATTATGCCACTGATTGTGAAGCAGCCGATGGTTTTATGCATTTTTCGAGTAAAATTCCTCATATTTTTCAAAGGATATTATAACGTTTTTGTATTCACTCCTTTTGACGCGTAGTAAACGATGGAATATATGAGTTAATAAATTCTTTTTCCCATCAATTTCTATGTAGTTTATTAAAACATTAACCGTAATTCGTATTATAATATTCATACCTTTAACCTTTAACCATTAACTCCAATCGTGAATACCATCTAGAAAATAAGTACTTCGTGTCTGTCGTCTCATTACCTAATTATTTTTCAATCGCATCAATAATTATCGTTCAATATAAATAGATTCAAGTATTATAATCTGCGATTATAATAAATATTACTGTGATACTCGTTTTTGATTTTTTTTTTTTTTTTTATCGTTCTAACCGAATCAGTATTTCGCCTAGCACGATATAGAGCATTCCACGCAACCGCTTATATTAGTAGAATAACTTGGTTACACGACTTAAATTTCAACGAATGTACTTGGATTTTTCATCGCCTACGATTTCTATTTCGAAAATCAGTAAGTGTTTACCCTTTATATATAGTATATTCGTTTTAATAGTAATGATTTATTCATGTAGTTACTAGGAAATTAAAAAAGTCATATGTATATTTATTACAACCACGGTATTTTGTCATGTTCCATATCATCTCCAAAATTACCTCGTATACTATAAATTAGATCAGTTGTTACAACAAAAACGTTCTAAAATCAAAATTTGAATCATTGTTTTATAAAAATAATCATTGGTCTGATTTTAGTTTAATCGAAAAAGTGAAATATATTCACAGATTTAAATATATGTATCTAAATTACTTGATTTTAATATTATGACTATTAAAAACGCGAAACTATTTTATTATATTAGAAATTAAAATTGTTCAGTGTTTACCTTTACCCGATATCAGTTAATTTTTTCTACGTTATGTAATTTTATTTAACGCTGGAAAAAAGAACAACGTTTTCTTATTCGTATGATTTGACCCTACTTCATATTATTATTGTTTTGGCCCATTTTTTTAAATATAATATATGAAAAACTATCGTTTATATATTTTCCAAATATGAAAATAAAAAACTATACAATTAGAATTTAGAATATGGTAGGTACATAATATAGTATAATATAATACTACATAAGCGTAATACCTTCGACAGTGAGCTTTTATTTATCAAAATTGTTTTAAGTAAAACTAAAGCGTGTTTAATAGTTATTTTCATACCCATTATGAATAATCTTCATATCCGTATGAAATTAATGTATTTTTCTGATAACAAATAATAACAATTCTGTTGGTTATGAGTATACATTTTTTGAACAAAACACATTACAAATGTAGTTACCATTTTGTATCATTCAATTATATAGGCACACTAGATGTTTTAAATATAGATTTATAGATTGTTATTTGCATTGTAAAGAAATAAAATAATTTAGCATTAAATAATAATTATAATTAGCATTCGAACTTTAGTGTATTAAAGTATGAAAAATGTAATTAAAGAAATATTTATATATCTATATCATTCAAACCATCAAACCATTAAATTGTTTTCGCATTTATGGTATTTAATTTTGTAGCTTGTTTATTTCAAATAATCTTCGTAAAACATAAATTTTCTTTCTTTGATGCATTTTTAAATTTTGACATTATTTCATTATTTATTTTTCTGTTCCTCTCCTCCTTCTTCCATCAATATTTTTCAATCGTTTGTTCGACGATGTAAAACGTTAACAATATTATTTATCATAAGATCCGCC